CTTGGGCGACGTGGCTCCTCCTCCGGCTCGTCTTCTGGCTCCTCAGACGAGGCCTCGCCGGCCTCGTCCGCGGCCTCTTCCTGCGGGACCGTCTTCGCGATCTGTTTGCGTTTCGCGGTCTCATCCACCTTAGCACGTTTGTGCCGACTCTTCTGCGCCACATGCTCCCTGACGCAAGTCTCTTCCATTGCTGCAATCATATCGTCCGCTGCCTCCACATCGTTCGCTTCTTCCTCCTCCTCTTCCTCATCTCGACGAGCCTTCTTGTTCTTCTTTCCACGTGGCTTTGCCTGATCTGTATACACTGGCGGACAGGCTGTCTCTATCATCGACTTCATATCCTCAGTCCCCTCGGGTTGCGAGGGAAGCGGATACTTGGGCTCCTTCGCAGGCTTGCGCAGCTCCTGCGGGACAGCATGCACACATATCCCTCCATTCCCATAACCACCCACGAAGACATATGTAAAAAAAAATATATACCACGTACACATACACATATTGCACGCGTATTATAATATATACTATATATGTATATATCCGTGCACACACTATACGTATAGATGCGTGTGTATGTGTGTATATAATATATATATATATATATATACGTACATGGACTATATATATATATATAGATTAATTCCACATCCCCGTCATATAACTAATACGTATACACACACACACACACACCGACACAGCATGTGCAAATACGTGTCTGCACATGCTAGCACTGCACAAGCAGCCCTAGACATACATGTGTGGCTCCATGACATATTGCAGGCTGCCTCGGCTTCCTGCATCGAACCAGCAGCTGGAGGCCCGCCACGGGATGGAGGCAGTGTATCCTCAACCTGCCGGCAGAGAATCAGACATGTTGACATTGCTTGCACACATGCAATCTATACGTCTTTCTGCGTGGAAGGATGGAACGATGCTGCAGATGAGTGGGTTGCGCTCACGCGTTGCAGCCATGCAGCTCCATATATTCCCCCTCTGCGGTCCCGATAAGCCTAAACTCCTAAACCTTTGCACATGAGTCCTCTCCGGGCCTTTTCAACAGTGGTCTTGTCCGGGGGAGCTTCGATGTCCACCTGCAGCAAGGGGCTCGCGTTTAGGGTTTCTTTCGGGTTCAAGGTTTAGGGTTTTGGGGGTTCAGGGTTTGGGGTTTTGGGGTTGATATAGGGCTTATATATAGGGTTTATATAAGAAAAATAGATGGGGCTTAGGGGTGCGAAGCGGCTTGTATGTCCCACATGATATAGGCCGCACCCATGCAAGCAGAGATATTTACTGCAAGAGTGATCGAAAGACTGTCATGAAGACAGCATGTACGCATTTGCCCTGCGTGAAGAAAATCGGTGCGCTATAGATTGCGAAAGCCTCGCCCAAGTCGCTCATGGCCGTCTGCCTCACCATCCTCGCCTGGAGGATTAAGACTATATACCCTATAGTCTTGGGCTTTCTGGGGGAGGGTTTGGGCTTTGGGGGCTCAGCATTCAATCACTGCATCGAGCATTCATGCATGCGCACATAATTATATAAAACATTTAAACCATGACCGTGCACCGGTCATACATACACACGCTTTCGGAGGGCCTTGACTGGCGACGGGGACATGCTCATGAGCCGTTGCGTCGCTCGGTCAAGAAGGTTTCGAACCGAAGCACGATCAGCCGTCCGCAGGAAGTCCTCCACCATAGTAGACCGCTCCTTCTGGGACATGCTTTCCTCGAATTGCTGCATATCCCTTGTCTTCGCAGACTGCAGCTCAAGAATTTCAGCCATAGGCCGGAGTCGCGGCAAAGACTTGGGGGCTGGTGCCGTGGCACTATCAAGTTTCAAAGACCTTGGGACCAACGGTGATGGATCCTCGGCAACACGCTTAGGCTGTGAAGATACATCCTCTCCCAGCTCTGAAAGCTTGTCCGGTACTGCAGCAGGAAGCTTGGATCCATCCTCCCCCAGCTCTGAAAGCTTGTCCGGTACTGCAGAAGGAAGCTCGGATCCATCATTCCCCGTCTCTGGAAGCGGCTCATGTGCTGCAGCAGGAAGCCCCATACCCGGCGCATCATTGTTCAGCTCATCTCGGCCAGGAGTTTGCATGACCTCCATTCAAACCATCAAAGGAAATTATACACATGTTAAATATACCACACACACACACACGTGTGTCAATATGTATTGCACTGCCTGAGTTTCTTGATTCGATGGCCAGTCCGCTCGACGGGCGTCCTCGGTCGCAGCCAAGTCTTCTTGCTGGCGTCGCTCAGCGGCGAGCTCCTCCATGGACCCACGTATATATATATAGCTAGCTAGCAACACAGCTGTGCAACAAAAACAATCCATGCAATCCTGCTCGGCGTGGAGAAGCCAATCCGCAAAGAGCTGGTATTCTTCCACCGGCTCTCCGTCCAAGCGGCCCCAACACTCCGCTGCAACCCCCATGGCTTCGCAGAACTCTGGGAACCATCGGTGAGCTTTCATCTTGGCCACGTCCACAAAGGCCCGCTTCTTCTTGTTTTCCTTCTCTTGCACGAAATCAAGAAACTCCCTGCGGTCAGCGAGGACCCTGTCTATGTAGGTGAATGGCTCCTGAACGCCGCGACAACTGCACATTATATTTCAGATTTAACATGCAACATGCAATGAAACTGCACACAGACTGCAATCGTGACATGTGTCCTCCCCTGCATCCTTCTTCATAGCCTTGAACTGCAAGAAGTCTGGGTGGGCTTTGCATTCCTGCAAAAATCGAAGTACCACGTGTATGTGGAATTAACATGCCATGCCATGCACACCTGCAGGTAGTCGAAGGCCCGAAGATTGTCGGCCTGCGCGAATCATGGAAGTAATTTGCATGCTTTCACACATATTCCAAGCATATACGTGCAGCCTCCTCGTAACTCTTCGGAGGCTGCTCCATGACTTCACAGACCGACTCTGAATCACTCTCGTCGATCTGCCACACTTCTTTATCTCTGTCTGCGACATGACACTCCTTTTTGCAAACTTTCTGTGCAAGATGCTTCTCCTTGGGCCCGTCTGCGGGTGCAGGAGCTGCTACTTTGCTCTTGCACTTGCCGGGCCGAGCTCGCTTTGCATTATGCTTCAGCACCGCTTGCAACTCATGCGCTGCCTGCATGCACAGATCGTGCAGATGTGCAACCGGCCGTGCATGCAATGGATGCAATCAGATGCAGCCTCTGTGCTTGTTTTCCGGTTCAGCGACTTTCGCCAGTACCTCCGCGAATACGACAGCAGGCCAAAGAGAACATCGCATTCCTCAGCATTGCATGCATGCACTGCATGATAACTCCAACAGGACCGCCGAAGCGACATGCACACATAAAGCAGAATTGCAAAATAGCCGCATCTTTCGCCCACTGCCTTCTATCCCTCATGTATCTGGATTGAGAGAACCTGCCCTCCACATCTTCATCCAACTTGAGGAAAACGCTTTGAAGATCTGTCATGCCGAAGTCACCTTATCCATGCAAAAAAGAAACTGAACATGCATACATGCAATGCCGCCAAGACACCTTCCGGCGATATGCGGTATATCGCAAGAATCAGCGGCATGTAGTCCAGCATATCTTCATAAGATATATTCGTCGGATTTCTCACCTCGACAAACAGCGTATTGTCCGGCTTCTTAGCTCTACAGCAATGAGTAAATGCCGCCGTCGATAGATGTAGTTTGAGAGCACCTCATAAGCACAGGCGAGTTGCAAACTGAAATTCAATTGAACGCTTAAGTCCTAGTCATGTCTGAATCGCAAACCGTGGGGCTGGCGACCTCAAGTTTGCAAATTTGGGCAGGCATCGCGCATGCAGGGATGGCCGGTGCTATCTAGCGTTGTCCAGCTCTGTTGCAAGCGTGGAATATAATGAGTCTGCATGCACTGCCGCTTGCAAGTTGAAACCCTTCCGTTCTACTTGCGAGAGCCACGCACAGAACAGGCACCACATCTAGCAAGCATGACAGATACGCTGCATGTCGTGGCCTGCAACACAGCCACCTCATCAGTCCTCGTCGCCTCTTTCCGCGAGGCATATTCCATGGCTGAATATGTGTAGGCTCATGTAGCTATACGGCATGCATGAAACCTCACATCCTAGCTCAATCGATCATAACACTCATTCTCAATACTATGGCCGTGTATGGATGCTTCATGCCTTGGGCCCTCTGGGCCTTGGGGCCTTCAATGTCTTGAGGGGAAAGGCCCCGGACTTCCACCAGCAAGGTCCAAGACCAAAACCTTAGCCCACAAGCCCGGAACCTTAGCCCACGAAGCCCTAAGAGCCTTAGGGTAAACCCTAAAACCCTAAACCCTAAGCCCTGAACAACAAAAATCTGAATATTATTAGGTATTACAGGCCTTAGCCTGGGTATTCCGGATTCTAGACCATATCAGACCTCGAATTCCGGATCTCAGACCCCTAGCTCCGTTTTTAGACTTCCGGTTTCGTAGTATCAGCAGTACTAGTTATAGTGCTAGTGTTGGTTCGATTAAAGCCCATACAATCCTCCTACCTCCCAATTCAACCATAACTACGTGTGACTAAGTTTGTTCAAGTTTGGAGTTTTTGTTTGTTAACTCCGGATTGTTTGGCCAGCAATTCTTTATCTTTGGACAGATTCGGTGCTTGGCGGAAGTGACTACTGCTGCCTTCCCATAGATTTGCATTTTCAAATCCCGAATGATTTGAATCGGACTCGTGCATCAAAGGCCGGGTTCTCATAGATCTACCTGGTATGGCTTCATTTGGACATCGTAGCCTGGCCATGGAAATCGGCCAAAATAGGCCCGCAGTAGGAATGGTGAGTCCGAAACAATATAGACGATTGAGATGGACTGAGGCTTTAGTGATTTGGGGGTTTGGCACCCCTTCAAGGAACCCTAAACCCTCACAGTAACCCTAGGGGAACCCTTGTAGTAGCTCTTAAGGGATATCCGGGCAGTCCGGGACAGATAGATCTCTGGCAGACCTTCCTTGCGGAGGCAAGATGCCGCAGTCATCGCCAAGCATGCAGCAGAAACTTGGCTGTTATTTAAAGAGCCCCATTGCGCAGAATGTATGAACATAGATTCAATAGGCGTATTTAGTAAAGCATCTTATACCCTAAACCCTAGGGACCCTAAAACCGTATGAGTGGAAGTTCCTCGTAACCCTAAACCCTAAACCCTAAACCCTAAACCCTGTGAGCAAGAGCCCAGGGAGAGCCATTGGCGAATGAGGAGTTTGTGAAGGCTCTTGTGAAGAAGGATGGGCTGCTGTTGCGGTTTGCCAGTCCCACGTTGCTTGTCCGTCTCTCTAGATGAGGGGTTTCCGAAAGTGTTCCTAAGATGAGAGACGTCATACATATTTTTTTAAGATGAGGGGTTCCAAAAAAATAGGGGCGCCGTTTTGGTGTGAAGAACTTTACTAGGTACTGTACACTGTTTCCATGCTTTCTGAGACTCCTATGTAATTACACCCAGCTCAGGTTGCGCGGGAAGCCAGATGTCGTCTCGCTAGCCATGAATGAGAATCCATGTGCGTTCGGGCATGCATCAGAGGCGATCCGTGCCGATACTAGGTTCTTGTTAAGGAACCCAGTTTAGAAAATCGTTGTTCAGGGGTTTAGGCTTAGGGGTCATTTTTGGGTTAAGTTAAGTGGTTTGGTGGACTAGAAATACCATACAGATTGTCTTACTGTTATCACAATGCCTGTTCTTCGTGACCAGAACTTAGGACTTTAAAACGGCGTTCTTCGCTGTGAGTCAAAGAGGATGGCTGCTGGAGAAGGTATCCGGTGACTTGAAAGCGAACGTGGAAATTGTCAGGACAGAGATAATGCTTATGACAAGAATCAACCGTTTTAGTGTTTAGGGCAACATACTTATGTGAATTGTGCTGGAATGCGTAATTCAAAATGAAAGCCCCTGAACCCTAAGCCAACCGATGTGCCAGCTTTTGTCAACAAAGACTATTGCGTTCGACATGTATCAAGTGTGAGCTCCATGCCATAGCCTCGCATGTAGGGTTTAGAGTGTAGTTTAGAGTGCAGGATGTAGGGTTGAAGGGCTATAAGGGTTTTAGGTTTTAGGGTTTAGGGTTTAGGGTTTAGGGTAGCACTGCGCCCCACAGGTAGGCGGACGTCAAGAACACTGGACAAGAAAGATACACGTACGGTTTCGCCCCCAAAACCCCAATACCTACACCTTGAGCTCCTAGCTTATCTTGAACTTTACCCTACCTTAAGCTACCAAAACCTACTTTTTTGTAGGGTCCCTATAAATTCTATATTAGGGTTTATAAATGAGGACCTACAAAAAAGTAGGTTATGGCAGTTCAAGGCAAGCTTCATTCATAGGAGACCGTGGGGGCTTAGGGGGGATGGGGGCGAGGGGACCTTTTTCCTCAGATCGGCTTCTCGTTAGACCTCTAATCCAGAGTTTAGAGTTTAGGGTTTGGGGACCAGGACGGCTGTGAGCCAGAATGTGCGGGCTTTTGAGTCTGCTGGTGGCGATACGAAATGGCTGATGCAGCTGGCAGCCACGGAGGCGGGTGGCCAACCCCCTCAACGATGGACTATTAAACCCTAAACCCTACTAAACCCTAAACCCTAAACCCTAAACCCTAAACCCCTCACTCCCTGAACGATAGACCATCAACCCAAATCCTCACCATCCCCCCCATACTCTAGAGTCCCAAACCCTGGAAAGCCTGAAGCAGTTTAGGAGGGTTTAGGATTTAGGACTGAGGGTTTAGGGTTTAGGGTTGAGGATGGAGGGTTTAGGACTTAGGATTGAGGGTTTAGGGTTTAGGGTTTAGGACTGAGGATTTAGGGCTTGGGATCGAGGGTTTAGGCTTCCGTCCTCTAAGCACCAAACCCTAAACCCTAAACCCTAAACCCTAAACCCTAAAACCTAAAACCCTAAACCCTAAACCCTAAACCCTAAACCCTAAAACCCTAAACTCTCAGGTCTTGAAGAGTCTCGGGGTGGAGCCCGAGGACCTTGCGAGCCACTTTTCCGAGACGTAGTTCCGGGGGGGTTTAGGGTTTAGGGTTATAGGGGTTTAGGGTTTAGGGTTATAGGGGTTTAGGGTTTAGGGTTTAGGGGTTTAGGGGTTTAGGGTTTAGGGGTTCAGGGTTTGTAGGGTCTAAGGTTTTAAGGTTAGGGGTTTAGGGTTTGGGGCTTAGTTGAGGGTCAAGGTTCGGTTCCTGTAAGGGTTCCCGGACGGGTTCTGTAAGGGACCCTTAAACAGGGAACTATAATCTATAGGCCTCAATAACTAGAGTTGGTCTTGAGGCGCATTCAAGTGTACTTCTAAAAAGGAGCTCGAACAGAAGAGTATTACCAAGATTTCCGACCCCTAGAGTTTGTGTTGAGGCGCATTGAGGTTTCAAGGTTTTTGCTAGGAGGTCAACCCTACACTTCGAAACCCTAAAACGTTAAACCCTACACTGCGATATCCTGCACACTAAGCCCAGTGTTTAAGTACCCCTAAACCCTAAACCCTAAACCCTAAACCCTAAACCCTAAACCCTAAACCCTAAACCCTAAACCCTAAACCCTAAACCCTAAACCAAACCCTAAACCCTAAGCCCAGTGTTTAAGTAGGATGCAGCTGGAAGCGTTTGCCAGGGCCTAGGGCTGCCGGCTGAGAGTTTAAGGCTTACGGCTTATACTTGCTAGTCCTTACATAGTAGTTCTTCTAGAACCCTAAACCCTAAACTAAACCCTAAACCCTAAACCCTAAACCCTAAACCCTAAACCCTAAACCCTAAACCCTAAACCCTAAACCCTAAACCCTAAACCTTACCATAAGCCCGGTATATTTGCCCCTATGTAGAAACGCTGCAACCTAAGGAGCGCTCGTCGCCAATGCACAGGACGTGTTGAAGAAGTGTTTCTGGGCTTTGAGGTTTAGGGGTTTAGGGTTTAGGTTTGTTTAGGGTTTAGGGTTTAGGTTTTAGGGTTTAGGGTGTTTCTGGGCTTTGGAGTACCATACTTTAATACTTTTGTTTGGGACCTGTTCCTTAAAGGAACCATTATAAAGTAAAAGTCGTGTTTCTGGGCTTTGGAGTACCATACTTAAATACTTCTTTTTTGGACCTGTTCCTTAAAGGAACCATTTTAAAGTAAAAGTCTAGACGTTTTTAATACGTTTTTAGGGACCTGTTCCTTAAAGGAGCCATTATAAAATAAAAGTCTATACTTTTTTCCCGTGGTTACTTCAATGCCGAGGTTTCGAATTCGGGGAATGCCCTCGTCTTCTCAAGGCTCTCCAGGCATACGTGCAAGAAGTGGCCAAGTCATCCAAAGAAGTGTTTTTGCTTTTAGGGGTTTAGGGTTTAAGGGTTTAGGGTTTAGGGTTTCCTGATTCGAATCTTACATGGACCTTACAGGGTGTTCTGAATGAAGTCTTCCCTACTTAGCCCTCCAAAGTCTTCTTGGTCTCGTAGAAACCCGTTAGCCCTAGCTGCATGCAGTGGGAAAGGAGCCCTTAACAGAAAAGAAAACTAGACCCTCAAAGTATCGTTGAAGCTGAGGCGGAGAAAGGCAAGTCGGACAAGCCAACGAATCTTTCCAAGAAGTTTGCTCTAGAGATCGTGAGGCGATCGGGCTATCTCTACAAGCAGCTGCCAGAAGCCCACAAGCGGGACGTGGACATCGCCGTGGAAGCCGTGAAGAAAGTCTCGGATCTTTTTCCAGACCACCTGCCTGGAAATGTGCGGGGTGATTTCGAGGCCCAGACCCCGTCAGCTCTGACTCCCAAACCCTTGATGTAGGGGCTTTGATAATTACCTATACTATCTTGGGGGCTCCTTATCATATTTATAAAATACTATACCCCAAAACCCTATTATTAAGGCCCCTATATTACTGGCACTCATAGTCAACAAGGCCATCAAGCCAGCGGCGACTCTTCTCAGTGTCATCGCAGTAGCGTGACCACAAGAAGCTTCATGCTTCAATGAGATCCGTACGAACACTTGTGTTATAGCAGCTGACCCTAAGCCCGAGAAGCCCTGAAGCCAAACCGAACCCTCAAACCCAAGCCCTAATATACAAGCCCAAGTACTTACACCTATCCTCAGGGTCCCTGATTATAAATAGACCATAAAGGAGCCCAAAACCATGTTCTACTTATGGGACTTTCCGAAAATTAGGGTACCTTATTTTGGGGTCCTTATAATAAGGAACCTATTATTTAGGGTACCATATTCGGGTCCCCTATTTTTGGAAATCCCCTTATTAAGGCCCCTACATTAACAAGCCTTCAAGCCGAAGAGCCCTAAATTCTCTGGCCCGTCCCAGGTCATGGTCACAGCCGTCCAGTCATCGGGACGCAGACAGCTCTTGCGGTACCGCCTGTGTCCCTCTGACAGGAGACCACGCCGCTTTTAACACGGGGGGACTTGCACATCGTAAGCTTGAGGGGTTTAGGGTCTGGGGTTTGGGGTGTACGCTGTGGCGTTGTGTTTTGGTATGCTCTTTTGAGACTATGGTTGTAAGACTAGCCATACGAGACTGCTATCATGATGTATTCCGACTGTCGTAGGGTGTGGAATAATAGGCTCTCAGTGGGTTCTTTATCCGGGTTTCGTTGGGTTCAGGATTTAGGTTTCAGTTAAGTGGGTTTAGGATTTAGGGTTTAGAGCCTGGGGTCTGTAGTTCAGCGTCTAGAGTCCTTTGATTGTTGTTTCCGGTTTAGGGTCTTTCGGGTCTAGAATACTTTAAACCCGGAACCTTGTAGCCTACACTCATACCTCATACCGCTGCAATAAATACAGGACTGAATAAGTTCGACTAGTGTCCTCCTAGGGTCCCTACTACAAGCAAAGCATACTATTCTCTTGCTTCAGAGATCCAGGAGACGCAGGAGACCCTAAACCCTAAACCCTAGACCCAGGAGACCCGAAACACTAAGCTTTTGAAGAAGAGTTTAAGTTGAAACGAAGCAAACCGACAGCTTGGTCACTCTCCCCCAAAGTACCCAAACCCAAGCCAACACACCCTGACCCGTTCACACTAAGCCACTAAGGCCCCGTACTCCTATACACTCAACTCTTAGCCCAAAGGCCTCAAATCCCATTATATATATATATATATATATATTCTATATATCATCTTCATACCCTTGACCCCAAACCCTTAAGTAAACCCTTTTCGACTTGGTAAGCCATCAACTTCCCAACCCACAACCCTAAACCCTAAACCTTAAACTTTCGATGCCCAGGACAAGGGTCTGCTGCGAGGTGGCGAGACGAGATCGACTTCTGACTGGGGCACCAACATGCACGTAATATAGGGGCCTTAATAGCTATTTTGGGGGTTCCTTAGTCTAACTACATAGTTACCTATTTTTGTTGGTTCCTTATTGTAACTAGTATATAATAATATACCCCAAAACCTTATTCTATTTATGAAGGCCCCTACATTAGTTGGCTGGCGGTTTGCATGGATAGGGCTGATTCACAAACCCTTGGATTGCGGTATACGGGGTTTAGGGGGGTTAGGGTTTAGGGTTAATACCTGGAACTACCATGATGGAACTAGGCGCCCAAGGACCATCCTTATCATGTTCTTGAAGACCTATTTCCAGAATAGTGGTGTATCTGAGCCTTCTTGGTTTCCTATCATGGGTTGTGCAGGTCCCTACAAACTTAAACCCTGAACCCTAAACAGTAAACTCTAAACCTTAAAACCCTAAACCTCAGAACACTGAACCCTAAAGCCCCTTGATGGGTAGTGCAGGATTGTCCATCAGTAGTAGGATTCTCAGGGATGGCTCTCGTTCCGAAGTTTCTGAACCTGCCTCCTCGGCCTCAAAGGTAATCTGGCGGCGGGTGGTCTTAGTTAGAGTAGGGCGAAGGGTTTAGGCGCTTTAGGGTTTGGGGATTTAGGGTTAGAATAGGGCTAGGGGTTGAGCGATTTAGGGTCTAGGGTTTTGGTGTATACTATAAGTATCTGATACTCGCTGTGGCGTCATGACATGGGGTCGCCTGTTCCGAAACGATGATTTGCAACCATTAATATTAATGTGTGTGTATATATGAATATAACTATGTATGTCTGTATGTATGTATGCATGCATGTATGTACATGTATACATATATATATATATGGTCGCCCCCCCCCGTTGACAGACCATGCCCTCTCAACTGAGTAGATGTGCATGGTGTGTCATCGGATGGGTGGCGATCAGCCCTCACAAACTCAATTCCAAAATTTCCAATATTCTCGCCCCTAACTTTCCGGATTTCCAAAAT